TGATGATTTCTTTAAAATCACTGCCATGTTGGAGCCACATCAGTGTTAGAGGAATGGGCATTGAAATTTCTATTTGATTGGACGAATTTGGTGATTTTCAAGAAATCTGCCAAAAATTGATTATTGAAATCAGCCATTTTCATGGATCACCTTTTTTGGTGATTTCATGATTTCTAGCTGATTCCGATTTTTTTTAGGATGACATGGCATTGAATAATAACTTTAATACAAAATTAACCTGCCCTTGAAAATCAGTACCAAATAGATTCAAAGATGATTTCTCAAAAATTGGCTTACATAGCATAAATGATACCAAACAACAATTTTTGGTGATTTTTCAAAAATCACCGATCTATAGATAATCAACAAGGAGGAATCATCATTGATGCCAAACATCACTTTAGATTACAGCTGGAGCCATGTTGGATTAATGCAACGTTTTCGAACCGCTGTTGACTTGGATGGTCGGACCATTCAGCCTGGGAATTGTTTAGGCAATCGGTTCCGTTTTACCCCAAACCCGGAATTTGGTAAAAAATGTTGAAAAAGTCAACAAACCATTGACCCGGGCAGTCGAACTGTCGACCGTCGACCTGCTCAACAGTTTTTGACCGTTTTTTTTAATTTTTTTAATTTTTTAATTTTGCTGTCAGAACGGGCCGTTTGTTCGAACCGAACGGTTGAATTGTCGACTCAGAAACCGATGGCCAGAACGGTTCCATTTCCAGGTCGTTTTTTAAAAACGTTGGGTTAATGTTTTTGAATTAGTAGAGCGATTCAGAACAACATCAACAGACAACAATGTATTTCAACCAAAAGTAAATTTGAGAATCCTGAGGCATAAACGTTTTTTCACCGTTTCTATGAAAAATATATTGCCAAACACATTTTTTCTACCTATTCCGTTTAATTGATGCTAGATTAACAAAAATGGAATGGTAGAAAAACAATTCAATGCCAGATGCCCATTATGGAAGAAACTGGAACCGGTTTTTTTAGAATCAAACATGGGACGCCGATTTCTCATTTCATTTGGAATGAAAAACACTTTGCAGTTGCATCCAAACGTATTTTTCATAAAAAAATCACTAAAAACGATTATGTGAAGTGTGCCAAACAGGACACGTACATCGTGGCGGAAGCAATGGACCCGAGCCATTGCCCGATAGGCGATAGGTAACCCACCCACTAACCAATTGATCCGGAGTGCCTTGAACCAGAATCCATAACAATCGGGCGTCATTATCGTTTTTAGACATGTCAATTTCTATTTTTTCTTCTCTCCCTCTTATGGAACAAATTGTCACCATTCATCGACTCTCTCATCGCTTCGTTCTTCCACTTTCCAACCAGCCTCAAGTCAAGAGAGAGGATGCGCAGGTTAATAACATTCGCACCGTTCCTCTTCCCTCTATTTCGTCTCTTCTCATCTCCGCTCCGCTCCTTCAAACCCTTTTTTTTCGATCCTGAAACTATCTACATTTCTCTCTGAAGAAATCCGACACCGAGGCCGATTTTCATGCCGGGGTCTTCGAAACTCCATTTGGACCCAGCAATCCATGCCATTATTGCCGTCAGTTCCACCGCATGTTAACTCCACAGCTTCTGTCTTCTATTCTCAATTCCCTTTAGGTTTCTGTTTGTTCCTTTCCTTCTGTGTCTTTAACTCTCTCTCTCTCCCGTCCCCATGCCGGAGAAACTGACGTTTGAACATAATGTGTGTTTTTCTGTAACAGATTTCTGGTTGTTTTGGAGTTTGATTTAGATTGGAGACCTGTGTGGTGGCAATCATGAGTGGTAGCAACCAGTTGATCTCTGTTCATCCCGAAGAGCTCAAGTTCATATGTAAGCGATCTTTTCTCCGCTGTTAGGCTCTGTTTATGTTCCTGATTCCTGCTTCGTTCACGTCCACCGTGACGCTATTCATGGATATAGTTTATCAAAGACAACAGTAGGTACTAGGTAGAAATATAATTGATAAAAAACCGTTCGTAGGAAGCTTGATATGAATCAGGTTCTGTGTTATCATTTGCCAAAGTGAGGAGATAGATATTCCAGTGAAACATAGAGGTTGATGTGTTCTTTCGAAAAATCCCATAGAAACAGAACTACACAAGTACTAGTGAAATTAAAGTAGTATCCAAAGGTTCCACTTCAATTGCTAGGGCAGAAACTTGATAAATTAATAGATTTCAGAAGCACGATTACATAAACATATATGAAAAGAAAGGTTAATCAAGTCTGAATGGCAGCAGCTTATTGCATTGTAGTGCTTGATTCCTGTGCTAAAGAAACTGATATTTTTATTCAATTATTTGCTGGAATCATAAAATCAGTTGGTTTGAGAAAAAGTACGGAGACACACGATTGAGAATTCTGAATTCCAGCCCCCCTACAACTAGCCCTGTCACCCCTATAAATCACATCCTGCTCGTGAATTTGGCATCAATTCACGGTTAGGATGCATTCTCCCCGTACTTTGGGCTTAGTAAATTCTGAACTGGGTTAATTTATACTTCTCCCTTTTTTTTTTCCTTTCTTTTCTTTTATTCCTTTTCATCGTTTTGCCGTGGGGTGTTGAAGTTGAAGTTGAAGTGACGTATTGATAGAAATTCTCTGCTCATAAGATTTAAATTATAGGAGCAACAAATGTAGAAAATTGGTGAAAGAAAAAGCAGACACATGAATAGAACTTTTCACTGATTTTTTTTTCCATCATTTTTTCTGATCAGCCTGTCATTGAGGTTAGCTCTCAATTTAGGTTCTAGCTATGCATTTCTAAACGATTAAGCTGGTGTTTGGCATCGATGCCGTTGTTCTAGAGCCGTTTTATGGGAAAATAGTGTTGTATGGATGAGAGTCTGTTGCATTATTTTTAAAGAAAACTACTTATTTCTTTTTTTGGCATGATTCTGCCTCATGGAATTGATCCACATTATCCAATGGCTCCTTTTTTAACATTGACTCACAGAAGTGGGATCTGCTCCTCACAAATGGGCGCCTCACAGGCACATCCACCATGCAGGAATATCTTTCATGAATAATAACTAATAATTATGGGAAATGTTCCCAATGCATGATAGGATGTTCGTGTGAGGCACCAAGTGTAAGGAGCAGATCCAGTCCCTGACCCACATTATCCAATGGTTCCCATAATCTACCACATTATGACATTAGTGCCACGCATGTTATGGACCTTATGGTACCGTTGGCAGCAATGGATCCAAAAACGAGAAAACACCAATTTTGATGTTTCTCAGACCACATCTCCCTGAATTCTAAGGCTTACTCATTTTATGGAACAGCAGTTCCAAACAAGCCAGTGTTTCGTGGCACACCATTTTTTCGACGTTGTGCTAACATGGAGCTGTTTTCTGGGACAATGGCATGATGCCAAACATTGCCTAAGGTTGTGTTTGTTACCAGTGTTGTTTCTACTTAAAAAAAGTTTTGGGTTAATCAATACAAATTATTGAAAAATATGTATTATCACATCACATGTGAGAGTTATTCCAGTTAAAATGATTAGACTTAATCACTTGGGTAAGAAAAACCAATTTAGGGGGTGTTCTGTAGTGTGGATGAGAAATTTGTGGGTGTGGATTGGTCCACACCACACACTAGTGGCAGGGACTAATCCACACCACACCACAGTCCACAGTTGTTCTGAACTGTGGACAAATTGTGTGGACTGGACCAGTCTACACCCAGAGTGGCATTCTGTAGCATGGTGTGGAACACCACACTTTTTTGATTCCATGTATTTCATATACATTTTATGAATGATATACACAGTTAATCATAAATATCTAATTTTTGCATTTTATATGATAAATATTTTAAAAAAATGCATCAATGAATTAATATTAATCAATAAATCATGGTTTTCAAAACCAGACCGGACCGGATGGTCGCATCAGAAAAACCAGGAACCGGTCAGGTGACTGGTTCTGTTTTTATCCAAAACCAGAAATTTGCAAAAAAACGTTGATTTGGTCAACAAACCGCTAACTTGGGCAGTTTAACCGTTTGAACCGTTCTACGATTTTGATCGTTTTTTATTTTATTTTTATTTTTTTGTCAAAATGGCCGACCATTCGGTTTGAACAGTCAGACCATTCAACTTGAGAATTGGACCCCTGACCGGTTCGTTCTCTAGGTTGGTTTTAAAAACCTTGCAATAAGTATTAATTTTTTATAAACAATAGTAAAATAATTAAAATAAAAAATATATTTTAAATATTTAAAAATATTATTTTATTGATAAAAACATTAAAAATTTATAAAAAATAAATAATTAAGTAAAATCATTAATCTTTTAGATCATACAGTCAAAATGCAATTGCAAGAATTTCAGAGATAAAACTGAAAATGTATCTCTATATTTCTGCAGGCTATCTTAGATCCCACAGCCTTTGACCCCTGCTCCTGACATATCCACGAGTTTTTCCTGTTGATGATATATTGGGATGTGGACGGGACTCGTCCACGCTATATTGAAGTGTGGCGTGGATGGGGGCAAACGAACACTGCCTTAATGTTTTTAAAAACAACCTTTCACACATGCATTCTTAAGATATATCTATTTGGACCATAAATAACCTCAAATAATAATATTGTATGCCAATTTATATTGATCAACATGTACAAAACAGCAATGTTACCAAACACAATTTATACGGTGCAATATGTTATTTTTCTTTTCCTTTTTCTTAATATACATAATATAATATGAAATTGTCCAAAAAAAATATGCCTAATATGTTCACTTCAGTTATTTCTTGGTATTTGTCTTAATTCCGTAGCGTGAAATTATACTCTACCAAATTGTGTCTGTATTCTAATTTCTAAACAGCGGGTAAATTACTTTCACTGAGGTTCTGGTCAAATACCGAAACCTTTACACCAATTTAGCTATCGACCTATTCACCTCTTGTAGTTTGGGGTTAATTACTTGATCCACCCCTCAGCAATATGCCTTTGCTTCAATGACAGAAAATGCTTAGATGACATTTGAAAATTTTCAAAAGTCTGTATTTCACCATTTCTGGCACTTTCTTGAACAAATACCTTGGTTTACCCTTCTAAAGAGAGTGGTACAAATGCTGATTGAAACCACCAAGGGAGGATGAAATAAAACGGGTTGGTCAGTTAAGGTGGTGTTTTTAATGGTTTTTATTTATTTTATAAACAGTGTCATGTCATTCTCATATGGATATTTGTTTCATCATACTATTTTGTATGTCTTGTAGTCTTATAAATGGAAGTCTTAATTTATGTGCAAATCAACCGTTGGGGAAAATTTCATTTTAACATTTCCCTCAATACAAAAGTGTTTATTTACTATTTCGCTTATGTGACACCTAGTGACATCTAACTGTCAATAAATATTAGTAAAAATTTTTCAAGCATTTTTTTCAATTTGAAAGGCAAATCAAGTAATAACTTTTATTTAATAAACGGAAGCTATACCAATCACATACTTAGTGATATGCAGTCATTCTATCATGGGGCCCAAAAATGAAATAAAACGCATGGATCACTCGGATAAATCAATACATAATTCTTGCCCTAAAAATATTTAGGGCATATTTGGATAGCATTGAGAGATGCAAGAAAACTTGGAGGAACCATAAAACATGGAACTTTTAAAACCTATAGGTTAAAATTCAATTTCTAAAAGGAAAAGCTTTGGCTGTTTGCAAGAAACAGATTTTGCTGCAGGTTTTACTTTAGTTGCTTAGAACAAACAAAAAGCAAAATATAGAACAAAAATAAATAAACTAGAATTTGCATTCAATTTGTTCACTCCCATGCTTTTTGAACTGACACACAAACAAACAAAAAAAAGAAAAATTTAGAACAAAAATAAATCAAAATTTGCATTAAATTAGTTTGAACTCATGATTTTGCCCCAGTGCAAATGAAATTGCATTGCAAAGAAACAAGGCCAGCAAGTATGAAGTCTAAAGGTGACTTTTAGAAGCAGAAAAAAATCACCACAATTGATTCTCAGGAAGCACCAAGTCTTCTAATAAAGGCTTTTCTCTGTTACCAGAGGACTGAGCCTTTTTATTTTTCATCCTTTAAGTTTCAATTCTGCTGACCAACTTATCATAGAGAAGTTTTCTAGACTGATAACCAGTGGCACTTACGTGAACAGTTGAGCTGGAAAAACAGTGCTATTGTGATCTGAAAGTAGCCAACAAAACCGAACACCATGTTGCCTTCAAGGTTCTGCTTCGGCTTTTCAACTTTTGCATCTATTCCTTTTTTCTTGAAAGGGAAACTGCTTTAGCACCAATCATGTATTGCCGATTTCTTTTTGTGTTTTTTCTCCTTTTGTTTTGATTAGGTCAAGACAACTTCACCCAAGAAGTACTTTGTACGACCAAATACTGGCGTTGTACAACCTTGGGATTCATGTGTCATTACAGGTTCTACTCTCTATTTGATACAATCTACTACCTTAGCACTTACTTTATTGTCATAATATTGATTTTCAATGTGCCTTCACATCATTCATTTGTGTCATTGATTTCTGTAGTCACACTACAAGCACAACGAGAATATCCTCCAGATATGCAATGCAAGGACAAATTTCTCCTGCAGAGTACCATAGTACCTCCAAATACTGACGTTGATGACATCCCGCAGGATACTGTAAGATTAATTCCTTGTCGAATAACTTTTCTCTTGAACAGATACAATGGCTTCTTCTTTACTTTAGATTATACATTTATACTTCCATGATAAAACATTGATGGTGTCCAGTTCAACAAGGATGGTGAGAAGGCAATAGAGGAGTGCAAGCTCAAGGTTGTATATACTACTCCAGGTCAAGGGACCTCAGAGGATGAAGGATCACTTACACAGAAGTCCAAACAGAACCTGAACTCCAACTCTGTGAGATTCTTTAACTTTTTGTTCTCTGTAGCCTTTTTTTCATTGTACAAATTTCAGACAGATTATTTTTCACTTTCTAGTTTATACTTCGTGATATATGGTTCAACCCGTTAGGACAAATTTTCTAGGCCATAACTAGTTACTTTTATTGACCGCAGGTGCTGAGCACTTCAAATCCTGAAGAAGTAAGTTCTCTTAATTGTTTGGTTTGTTTCCCTATTAGATTCTATTCATCTCTGTCTACCTAAAATGGTACAAAAGTTAGCCCACTAGAAATGCTTTGTGGGTGTTTGTTATAGTCAAATCGCCTCTGTGGCACTTAGGTGAATTCAAAATGATAACACAACACTACTATTTCAAATACTAAACACTTGTATCATAACAGAAATTATTGAATGGTGTGAATTTCTCATTTTCTTGAGTTCCATTTCAAACAAGACAAACAAAACTCCACACCGCTGCTCATCAAAAAAAAAAAAAAACAAAACTCCACACCGTGATTTAGAAGCCATGATAATGGAGATATATGTCCTTATCCTTCTGACATATATGTCCTTTTTCTGTACTGTCTCATGGATGAACAGAACAACTGATTGGCCCTTCTTCCATTTTAGCATTTACATGTTTAAGTTATGATATATAATTTCCAACATTTCACATCCTTCTTGGGAGAGATATTCTTGCCTTAACTTGGCTTCCTTCTTTAGAACAGCACTGAATTGAGTCAGCACCACTCAATTTAGATGTTGTCTCATTTACATCTCAAAATTGAAATCTTATTCCTTGGAGATTAAGGAATGGTCATACTTAATGAAATGCTTCGATTAGGCATCATCCATTAATTGGGTTTTATTTTGTTATATATGCCTTTGGCAAGTCATAGACTGGCTTCTTTTTTTTATCTGTAAGAGTGAAGATATCCTTTTTCTTTGTGGGATGTATGAATCTTTTCTCGGAGTTGGTCCCCTAATATGAACCTCATTGCTCTTAGATTTGTAGTTGTGTCTCAATTCTAAGGAGTGTAGAATATTTCATTCATGTTTTGCCTGCAAGATTCATGGTTAAATTTTCCTAATTGTTCTTTTCTCTTTTCTTTTCTATTCTAATTGCCTAGCCACAGCAAAACTGTTTGTGGTTGTTCAAATATTTCTCAAGAAGCTTTTAATATGATGCATATTTGAAATAATTACCTTCACTCTGTTTATTGCAATCTTGTTAAAGAAAGTTGTGTCATTCACCTGGTACTGTCGATTTCTTTCTGCTTGTAGGTTCGTAAAGTGCAGCGACTGAAGGAAGAAAGAGATGAAGTTATTCAACAAAATCAGCGATTGCAAAGGGAACTGGTATTTATGCTATAAAAATTAGAACATCCTAGGATGAAATTGTGTATATCAGAAAGTAATATGATCTTTTCCTCACTCAGGATTTGATGAAGAGACGAAGAAATCGGGGAAGTGTTCCAGGATTCTCGTTAGCATTTGCTGCTTTCGTGGGACTCGTTGGAATCATGTTTGGCTTCATATTAAGAGTTGTATTCTCTGCACCATCTGAAGAGTAACTTGACTATCTTCAGAATCTTGGGAGTTAGGCTTCCTGTCTGGAACATGTATTTTTTTTTAATTTTATTTTCTGTCAAATGGAAATATGTTTATTTTGATATATCCATTGTACATCAATTACTATGCAAAAAGACATTATTCATCATGGTTAAAGTGGCCCACCTAGAATAATGAAAAAAATGGATCATTACTGGTCATCATGGCGATATATATCTCCAGTTGTCATTGTATCATGTGAACATTAAAGTAAAGTGTGTAATACAAAGGAGAATGAATGGAAATAAAAGGAGTGATGGTGGAAATTTGGAAACTTGAAGCTTTGTGTACGCAAGAAGAGATGTTGACACTCATTAATACAAGAACGAAAATTGAAGGGAAGTTTCAACAATTGTCAGAACCCCCAAGGAAGAATTCTAGACGAAACTGAAAACACCTCCAACAAGAGAAATAGGTCATAAATTGGGAGAGAAGGGTGCTGGCTGATCAGTTTGGTAAGGTTGTAATATTTTGAAGAGTTTCTTAGTAAAAGACTACCTTGTTACTTTGCTGCAAACTTTTTCAGCTAATAAGTTTGCAGGGTTTTTCAACCTTGGAATTATTTTCGTAAGATAATTATATTAAATAATATTAACTCAATATAACGCAAATACAATTACCCACCCCTATTCATGAGTCGAGACAACGGGATCCATCAAAAGATAAAAGAGAGGAAGACCTGGTGAATGGTTATCCTACTAATAAGGTTCATAATAGGGGTGATCATGGGTAGGCCGGGCTGGGCTTTACACTTATGACAAGGGCTATAGCTTAGGCCCAAGTTTGGCTCGGTCCAGGGTTTTGGGCCTATAACATAAGTCCTAGTCAAGGTTTACATGGGCCCGGGCTGAGTCGGGCTTGATTTTAAGCCAATGTCTTTTATATATAAAACATTACATATCTAAAATATTTTATATTAAATGACATAACATGCATATAAATTTATTTTATATATTATATAGTATAAAATATTACATATAATATAAATTATACATATTATGTTATAATATTTATATATAAAATATATAATCTAATGTAAAATAACATGATATGCATATATATACATTATACACAAAATGTGTAAGTTTAAATATATGTGGGACAAGCTGGGCTTGAAGTATTAAACCCAAGCCCAACCCTAAAATTTGTGAATCTGATGTAGGCCTAGGCCTGGGCCAGGCCTGAACACAAAACCCAGGCCCAAGCCCAGAATTTTTGAACCGGGCTTATGTAGGCTGGGCTAAGCCGAGCTGAAATGATCACTCCTAGTTCATAACATGAGACAATGAGTGCTCAACAAAGCCACGAGCCGTCTCCCCGGTAGTGACATGGGCTTAAATTCTCGTGAATAATTTGACCCCTAACATGGATTGAATCAAATTGAGCATTTTGCAAAGCTAAGCTTAAATGGCTCGTGAATAATTACATGAGCTTAAATTCTCACACTAGTTCCATGCATGTATTAGAATCAAATCCTAAAATGAGTTCTACCTACATGTTACGAGGTATAATCCGTCGTGATCACAAGAGAGGATTCAAGTCAAATTCAGCCAAATATATATCTAGCTATTTAAACTTGACTTGGCTCAAGTCAATTTGATAATGAGCTTGATTTGAGCTAAAAACATGAGCTCGAATTCAATTCAATTTAAAAACTCAAATGTTCAAATTCAGCTAAGATTGAACTTAATATTATTGGGAAAATGGAGTTAAAGAAATTAGAGGAGAAGCTCCGATGCATATCTAAAGATACTATATTTAGAATGTTATTTGCTTCCACACATTTTATTGAGTTTGTTGTTGGGTTAATAATACATTCGTTTCCATGCCAATTTACAACAAAGTCTAATGTGACAAACTACAACCAATAAAGTTGAAGATTCTCCGAAATTACCTTCTTGAGACAGTAATATATTAGAATGAAAGAGACGATAGTGCTTTTTTTTTCAGTGAGAAATTAGTGAAAATTATGCATACAACCAGCTTGAGTTACATCCTTTTATAAGTTTTGAAGAATCATCATGAAAAGGGGTAGAAATTCAACTCTACGATTATTCACAGAATGTTAGAAATTAATGATTATTAATATTTAAATAAAGTCTCTTAATCACACCCGATCAAATCATGACCATTAAATTAATTTAAAACAACAACTATCTCATTGCACCGGTAGACAACACAAATCATGATCAAATCACACCCGATCAAATCATGCAATTCTCTTACTTGCAATTTTGTAATTTCACAAATGACTTGAAAATTGTGGCCTATGATTTTTACCCAATTTGTCACTCTATGATTTCATGCCGTATCATCACAATTTATCTCATTGTATCAGGTGTCATCACATTAAAATATAGTCATTTCATATAAAGCACGCGGGTGAACTTTAAAGAATCTCATTGCACCGGTATTAAATCTTTATATAAAAATTTAAATCAAATTCAGTGATTTTCAATATGAGACCAATTCAAAAATAAAAAATAAATTAATTTAGTGAAAACTTTTAAAACTATTTTTAAGATGCATGTGTAGAGATATATTCAAAGCTGCCATTAAATATAAACCGAGGTTTAAGAAAAGAGCGTATAGATTGGGCTCCGACTTTTAACTTGATTTACGAGTCAAATGGAATGATTTCATGCTAAGGTCGGTTCTACCCCGCACGTACGTTTTTCCCTTGTTTTTTTGAAGTACCTCACCTACGTTTACTTCGTCGGAAAGGAACCCTTCGTGACGGATCCAAACAAACTTTTCACGATCCAAACTCGAACTTCCATATCCGGTAGGTTGCTGCGAAATTTCTAGATTGTACTTACATATTTACCCTTGATTATAACCATAAGTATAAAAGATCTGTGAAGGGCAATTCAGTAAATAAGAACCAAACACGATCACAAGTTTGAACGACTAGTACCAAAGTCGTTGATCCAGAATCCAGAAGCCGCAGCGAAGCATACTCACCACGACGCGTTAAATAGGTTCTCGCTCGTTTCCCCGTTCGCAGTCTATACCTTTCATTTTCAACTGAGATCATCGTCTCCCGAATAAACTTTTCATTCTTGTTCCCTCCCCTTCCTCTCGTTTTCTTTATTTCTCTGAAATTGAAAGAATGGAAGCCTTTTCTTCGTTTTTCCAGTCTCAATCGAGTTCTCGAAGCGGATGGAGTTATGAATCCCTGAAGAATTTTCGTCAGATCTCTCCGACAGTACAGAACCATCTGAAACAGGTATAGAATACCACGAAAATATTCAACTGTGTTTCCATTCCTCAGTTAAGGTTTTTTCCCTTTCTTTGGATGCCTTTTCTTCTTTTATTGTGGGCTCTTTTGCTTGGTCTGGTCGATTTGACGAGGTTTTGGTTCGATTTTTTATAATTTATATGGGGTAATCGTTCTATAAGTGAGTCTGCCTAGCTTTATCTTAACTGCTCTTTGTTTGGTGTTAGAGATTGATTCGTAGGGGCTGATTGCTATTGTTGTCTTCTGAGTTATTTCTATTTGTATATTGTTTTCCTTTTTTATGCGGTTCTTGTTTTTCTTCCTGAAGTGGTCGTAGTAGTTGATGCTTTAAGGAGACTACTTTTTGTTACCTGGATATTGGTTCTGTTCATTTTTTTTTCCTTTTTTTCTGTGGGAATTTAATATTTAGGGTTTTCTTTGAATTTGCATATCTAATTTTCTTATATGTCTTCGTTATTGGCAGGTTTATCTTTCGTTATGTTGTGCTCTGATAGCCTCGGCGGTAGGAGTCTATCTGCATCTCCTTTGGAACATTGGTGGTTTATTCACAACGCTGGGATGTCTGGGTAGCATGGCATGGCTACTCTCCACGCATCCATATGAAGAGGTATTGGTGGTTTATTCACTTCTCTATCTCTCTTTATTATCCTCTGTTTAGCCATTGTACTCGACTAAACTTTAATCTTCAACTTGTTTCCTTTTTTGGGGAGCAGAGGAAAAGGGTTGGTCTCTTAATGGCAGCTGGCCTCTTTGAAGGAGCTTCTTTGGGTCCTCTCATTGACTTTGCCATCCGGATCGATCAAAGGTATATCTTATTTGTCAGTTGTTTTAGTTTTTCCATACTCTGATTACTGTGGGTTATCTCATAGCTTAAGTTTGTTATATGAAATGTTAGAAGTTAGATCAATGTAGAAACTTCTTTGGTAATGCTATCGATATATTCCATGTTTTCTGTTCTGTATTTTCTTGAAAGTTTATTGGTTTATGCTTCTAAATCCATCCTAAAAAATGAAAAAGTCTAAATCAGAAATTAGAATAAGGTGAGGATGTGGTGATTGGTGTATATGCTTGGTGTTTGTGTTTCTGTATATGAGGGGATTTGTATGTCTGAGTATTTTAGATAATAAATCACTTCACCATTTATGGTGTAACAAACTAACAATGGACTTCATTGCTAATTCCTTATATTGAACTTCCCAATCTCATTGGCACACATGGTAAATTTGACTGAACGAGAAGCAGCAATGAGAACGTTGAATGGATTACTAAAGGCTAGCTTTTATTGGCTTACTCAACTGAGAGACTAGTGACAGTAAATGGATGTTGAAATTTGAATATAAAGGGGTTGTTTTCAGATATGAGATGATCCTAATTGCTATATTTTAGTAGCTACGCAAGCAATGGCTCATTGGAAATTTTGCTCTTAACAAACATGGGTTTTTAAGTTGTTCTGCTCGGAGATGGAACATTTGACTACAATGATCGTCTCTACAAACTAACAGACTTCTAATGTGTACAGTTGATTGTTATTTTGACTGCAGCATTCTGATTAGTGCATTTGTGGGGACTGCTGTGGCCTTTGGATGTTTCTCAGCTGCAGCCATGCTGGCGAGGCGTAGGGAGTTCCTTTACTTGGGAGGCTTGTTGTCCTCTGGCCTGTCGATCCTTTTCTGGTTGCATTTCGCATCCTCCATCTTTGGAGGCTCCACAGCCATCTTCAAGTTTGAGGTGAGAAAGGATCTGCCCAAGCCCAACCTATAGTTGTCAACGCAACGCCTAGGGGACAAGGTGTCCTCGTCTAATTGCTAAGCAGTTTTGTACTATGCATTATAAAATACTTTTTTATTCTTTATTTTTTGACATAATTATAAAATAGGCATTATTAAATTAAATTATTCATTTTGTGTATTTATATATTAATTTCTTTTTATTATTTTTTTATTTGTTAGGGTTTAATCAATACAAACATTGCTAAATGCTGTATTGAACCCGCAAAGATTTTAAAACCTGAACCAATAAGTTTCTACCCAAAAAAAAAAACAATAAGGAAGAACTTAAAATTTTGTCTAATCAACACATTTTCTACTACTTTTTTTCTTATAATAAAAATAAGAGTTCAGCCCTTGTATTTTTTGAATATTCTTTTCTTAATGAATAATTATTAAGGAAATATGGTTATAGGAACTACTCTAGGATCTATGTTTTCTACATAAAAAAATCCATCACCTAGGTGATTAGGCGACTCCTTGTCCTTGGCGCCTTTGAAAACTATGGCCCAAACAAAGCACTCCCATCTTTGGACAGTTTTTTAGTAAAACGCATTTGTCTAATTGCGTTTGGTTCATGTTTGCTTATAAATGCAGTTATATTTTGGGCTTTTGGTGTTTGTGGGGTACATGGTGGTAGACACCCAGGAAATAATTGAGAAAGCACACTTTGGGGATCTCGATTATGTGAAACATGCCTTGACCCTTTTCACTGATTTTGCTGCTGTTTTTGTTAGAATTCTTATAATCATGGTGAGTTGAAGCTGACCTCTCTCTCTCTCTCTTCGTAGTTGGTACATTTCTTTCATGAACTTACAATGTGATTGAACTGTTATTTGCAGTTGAAAAATGCTGGTGAGAAGGACGCGAGGGAGAAAAGAAAGCGAAGGAATTGAACTTCATCAGAGTAGTGAGACCAAAGAATTGCATATGATTGCTCAGAAGTCACTTTGGTTATGTAGCTGATGTATAAATGCTTGGAAATCGAACACATGTAAAAAGTGTGACAAGAGATTCCTTATTATTCGGTTGTGGCGAATTGTTGTAGATGTTGGTTGGCTTTTGGTTTTGATTGGTAATTTGTTTTGTACGGACGTTGTGTTTGTAGTCCTAGGGGTGCCTACAGTTCGGCGTTTCGGTTAACCGAATCGACTTGATCGGTTTTTTAAAAATCTACACCGAAGTAACTGGTTAATTGGTCCATAGGTTAACTAGTGGACCGGTTAACCGTGGTTATGTAGCTGATGTATAAATGCTTGGAAATCGTAACACATGTAAAAAGTGTGATAAGAGATTCCTTATTATTCGGTTGTGGCTAATTGTTGTAGATGTTGGTTGGCTTTTGGTTTTGATTGGTAATTTGTTTTGTAGGGACGTTGTGTTTGTAGTCCTACGGGTGCCTACAGTTCGGCGTTTCGGTTAACTGAACCGTGGGGTTTTTTCAATCGAACCGACTTGATCGGTTTTTTAAAAATCTAAATCGAAGTAACTGGTTAATCGGTCCATCGGTTAACTAGTGGACCGGTTAACCGTGGTTATGTAGCTGATGTATAAATGCTTGGAAATCGTAACACGTAAAAGTGTGATAAGAGATTCCTTATTATTAGATGTTGGTTGGCTTTTGGTTTTGATTGGTAATTTGTTTTGTACGGACGTTGTGTTTGTAGTCCTTAATCGAACCGTAGGGTTTTTTCAATTGAACCGACTTGATCGGTTTTTTAAAAATCTAAACCGAAGTAACTGGTTAATTGGTCCATCGGTTAATTTTTTTTTTTCACTCAAAATTAAGAAAAAAGGCAAAAAGTTATTTGGCCTAAGAGGTGGCGGAGCCGCGGAGATGAGATGAGAGAAACAATGACAGTGCCTAGGAGGTGATGGTCCTGGTGGAGTTGAGGTGGTCATTGTGTTTTGGTTGGTTGTTGTAGGGGTGGGCAAAAAAACCGAAGTTGAGGCCGTGATCAGCGTTTTGATGGTTGGCATGATGGAGACGGAGATGACAGGCAATAGAGAGAGAAAAAGTCACAAGTAAGCATCGAAGCAAGAGAAGAATTGGCCATTATGTGAGACTTGAAAGGCCATTGGTCGGAGGATATGCCGGAGGAAAAACTAGAAAGATGAAGAAAGTCGGGAGAAAAAAGTGAAGAATCACAAGAGAGACTTAGGCCTTGTTCGATAATGCTGAACGCTTACCTCTTATCACTCACCAAATGCGTTCCACGACTAAAGGCCCATTCGATAACATTTATTGTTGAAAGTTATAGGGCATTAAATACTACTCTGTACAACGAATTTATTTGTTGATCGTTTGATGATTTTGCCCTTTTAACTTTAAAAGTGGATGAACGTTGGACCCATCTTCTGCCATTTCAGAAGCTCTTTTGATGCTGTTTGTGCTGATTGATCGGATACGAAAATGTTGCTGCTACATCGGAGGAGAGGTTGGAGGTTGCCGCCAGAGGAATCTTGGCCATTAATCGTTGTCCGGTTACTTGTTGGAGTGATTTTGAAAATGTACATTCTTTTTACACTGCTTGTCTCAGACGGCCGGTTGGATCAACGCTGGAGTTGTAATCTCTGGTAAGGACAATAAACGTTGCCGAATCAATGTATTGGCGTCGTGTATGAGTTGTCGGCGTCGTGTATCGGTAGAATCTTCATTTTTTCACTATAGACAGGTTCATCTATGTTTTTTCACAGTCGAGAGGTTGAAGATGACCTCTCAATATGGTTTGTTTGGTCCACTCAGGTTGGATCAGGATTTATTATATGATGGAGGTAGATTTGGCCTGACCCCTCGGCTGTGCGGCACGTGGAAGAAGACGAGATGATTTGGCAGGAATGCCAGCTCGGTATTATGACGTAATGCGGCTGTCCCAAAGAGAGGCATGAGCTCCCGAGCTCCCGAACTCTTCAAAGAGAGGCCCGAGCTCCCCAAGAAGAGGCCCCAGCTTCCCAAAAGGAACTCACGCTTCCTGGGAGGCGAAACGCGAACTCTCCCTAAAGAATCCCGAGGCTAACAACGAAGCCTGCGAAGGGTAAGGCCGATACTAGCCCACCTCGGGTCAGTTCGGACCATATGCCAGCACTACGGGACAGTAGGACCTACTCATCCGAACTCAAGACTTCACCTCGCGCACCACTCCGGCACCTCGGCTCCAGGTCGTGCGACTGTGAAACCATATTTGACAGATTCGTACTCTAGGGCAGCACGCCTTATTGGTCCGGGTTTGACAGACGGCAATCACGCCGTAACAGCCACTTGCCACCGCCATCTCAGTTGTGATAGAGACGGCCCTGGCAGAAAGGACAATGGCGGTTATGCCTGCCCCCCACAGAGGCGGTTACACCTGACTTGGCAGAAATTTGGGAGTAAGTGTACCAGGTGGTTATAAAAGGCCTCCCTCCCCCAGAGAAAGAGGTATGTGATATTTTGTGCTTTCTGATATTGAAATCCATCATTTTCTCTTGCCTTCTCAAGAGCATTAACTTGAGCTTCGGAGCGTTCCTACCGGGTTCCTCCCCGGAAGTCTCCATTTTCTTCCTTGTTTCAGGCATCTTCAGCTCTGTCGAAGGCAAGGTAACCGGCAGCTAAAGACCGACCGCATCGCGCATCATCATTTGGCGCCGTCTGTGGGAAGACTTCAAAAAGCCTCCCCTAACCTTTAACTCTCTCTCTCAAAGAAATCTTTAGTATCCATGGCTTCCTCCAGTAGTAACAGGCACAACGCCGACTTGAATGCTGTAGGGGAACACCCTCAGCCCGCCACTGTATGCATCGGACAGTTCACCGTCCCCGTCTCGGTGGACGAAATCTCTAGCCTCAATGCACCAAGCACGGTAGCACCTGTGAATGTTCTCCTTCCCTTCCCTATTGAAACAACCTTTGCCGAACCGACCGTTGTCCCTCTGGCGACCAGCCAGAATCAGCTTGATGACTTGATGCAATGCATGCGGGCCATGCAAGCCCAAATGCAACAGTTCCAGCAACATCAACTCCATCAGCAGCAAGTACTACACCACATTTCTCAGTATCACTACCAACAACAAATCCCCCAACTGCCTCTAAACCAACCGCAGCTCCCACCTCGGCACCTTGCCGTCAAGCCAATCAAGCCCTCTCCTCAGGGCGGGCGCCTTCGCCAAGGGGAAGCTTCTCAGCCGCATTATCCCTCCAGAAGCCAGGCCTCATCCCTGAGCAGGAGGGAAAGACTAACTACCCCTGCCTCGCAGCTTGCCGGCGGATCAGGAACCTCCCTGCCAATCAAGTCGGCACCTCGACACTCTAAGTTTGGGCTCTCGCTCGCGGAGAACCAATTTGGCATCCTGGCCGCGGACTACAACCAGCAGTCCAGGCCCATTGAGCTCGGCAACACCGAGGCCAGCAGCACCAATACTGGGCCTTCCAAGCAGCAGTGGAGGCGCCGACGAAGTCGCCGAACTACCACCCGCGTCTTGCCCGAGCTCTGAGGTAAAGAAGAAGCAAGCTCGGACGAGGTAAAGGTTGCTCCTATTCTTTCAGTCCCTTCCCCCCTGTCATCAGAACTCCTTGCCGTTCCCATGCCCAAGGACTTCAAACTCCCCCCACTAGACAAATATGATGGGTCCTTTGACCCCAGTGATCATGTTGATGCTTTCCAGTCCCAGATGCACCTAGCGAGGGCCAACGAGTCCTGCATGTGCGTGGCCTTCACCACCACCTTCAAGGGAGTTGCCCGCACCTGGTACAGGAACCTGGCCCCCGGGTCGATAAGGAGCTGGACCCAGTTTGTGCAAGTCTTCACCGCGCACTTTGTTACCAGCAAGTGGTGTCCCCGAACTGAGGAGAGCCTCCTCGGTATAGTCCAGAGGGAAGGAGAATCCATCCGAGGCTATATCAAACGGTTCAACGATGCGTGCTTGCAGATACCGCGCCTAGACCCCGCGATACAGCTCGCGACAACCAAGAGAGGTGTGACACACAAGGAGTTCAAGTGGCACATGGTAGTCAACCAGCCCGCGACCATAGCTGAATTCCCCGAGCTCGCGAACAAATTCATAAGAACAAAGGAGGAGATCAACCAAAGGACTGAAAGCGGGATCGAAAAAAGGAAGAGGGAAGGCGAACCCTCTAGTCTAGATGTTAGGAGAAAGAAAGACCCAGCTCGGGGGACGAAGCCAAGCCAGTCGTTCCGAGCTCCCTTAGCAGGTCGGACGGACTACATGCCCTTAAACGCGAAGCGGGCCGAGATCTTAATGACGATCAAAGACGCCCCCGTATGTGAAGTGGCCACCTCGTTTGAAGGAAAACCTGAACGAGAGGAATAAAATCTTGTACTGCAGTTTCCATAGATATCACGGTCATAGCACCGAACATTGTAATAATCTCCACAACGAGATAGAAGAACTTATCAGTCGCGGATACCCAAGAAGTTTTGTACAGCATAATAATAATAACAATAACAGTAATAAGACAGGTCGGCAGGGAGAGCACAACAGAGATGCTCCCGAGTCCAGCAGCCGGCTAGCAAAACAGTCACAGAAACAACCCCCGGAGGAAAGGTCAGTTTGGGGAACGATTCATGTGATTGTTGGAGGATCGATTGTAGTAGGGTGCACCTCGGCAGCAGCTCGGGCATCAATTCGTGAGGCCGCCAAAGAAGAACAAAATCCCCCAAAGTGGCCAAGGACGGAAAACCCCATATTCTTCACCGATGACGATGCGCGTGAGATTCACTACCCCCATGACGACACCCTCGTCATAAAGGTAAAGATCAAGGACTTCGAGGTTAGGCGCGTACTGGTTGACTCTGGCAGCTCGGCAGATATTCTCTTCAAAGCCGTGTTCGACCAGCTTCAGTTGCAGGGAAGTGACTTGAAACCCGCAAACACTCCTTTAGTGGGCTTCAGCGAAGAAGAAGTCAAGCCCTTGCGTAGTCAGACTCAACCACGACTTCCTGGTGGTCACAACCCCCTCCCCATACAATGCCATAATAGGTCAGCCGATCACCCATATCCTACGAGCGATGGTCTCCACTTATCATTTGGCAATGAAGTTCCCTACAGACTTCGGTGTGGGGGTAGCGCAGGGCAACCAACTCGAGTCCCGTAAGTGCTATGTTGCCGCCCTAAAGGGAAAGACCAAGGTGGCTGGCGACCTCGAACTGGAGCAGCCTATAGAGCAAGGCGAAGATCGAGCTACGCCCACGGAAGAAATAGTCATTGTTCCGACCTCAACCGCAGACCCAGCTCGGACGCTTCAGATTGGTGCTTCCGTCCAGGAACCCCTACGAACCGAATTGGTGAGTTTCTTACTCCAAAATTTAGACGTTTTTGCATGGTC